TTCCAAGTGGCGTGTGGGGGGGACCGAGGGAGAAGAGGGGGCAAGTATTTTCACACTTTCCTTCCCCGAAGTTGGAGAAACTCGCCACGAGGAAAGCCCGATGCCGAGCCTCCCGAGCATTTTCTGCGATACATTGAGCGGAACGCCAAGTTCTCACGCACGCGGTTATGTCGTACCAAAGGAAATCAAAGGAAAAGCGATGCAAATTTTATTCCTGAAAGGAATATCTTTTTTGTTACTTATCACTTGTTACTATGTTTTTATGACAACCTCAACTTCTTATGATATTTGAAACGCCAATGAATAATGCATGGCGAGAAATCTATTTGTTTTGTTTAGAGTATTGCGAAATGAGGCTGTTGCGTAAATTGCGGTGCGATAATGCAAAAATCAACGTTGCAGCGAGAAAATGCTGCTGATAAGTATGTTTTATACTTATCGAAAAGCTGCTTCAAGTGCTAACAATGATGACGCAATGTAAACAATATTACAGATCAGAAAATTTGCAGCAACAGATTTCTAATTTCCGGGTCACGTTTCTGCAATACGATAAAGTCTACTTAGCAATATGCGATAAATCGATGATGGTAAATGGCTTGCGAAACTATCGAGTAGAAAACGTGAATATTATAATATTAATAGTATTTGCGTACACGCCTGCGCGCGTGTTTGTGTATTTATGCGAATTTGTTATGCATAAAAATGAAAATTTTCTTGGATCTCGTCAATTTTTTTATAAACATGACGCTCTCTTGTTTTTCGAAAATTGTGTTTATTGATCATTTCGCATTCTATTTATATCGTATCGGGATGAAAATAAATCTAAGAATTGGCACACGACTGAACGGCAAACGCGTGCCAAATATTAAACGAAATCAGACCAGAAGATCTTGGTTACTAAATCCTACTACATTCATAAGCTTCTGAGCTACACGTTTAGCTCTTGAAAGCATCCGATTCGCTCTCGGATCACTCTCTTCTCGGTCGTGCATTACCACATGCGATATACCACACACTTTCGCAAACGCGCCTCCGGTCCCGGAGACCGCAAACGTGAGTATTATTCGTCCGAGCACTTTGGATGTAAACATGTAATAGAATTATCTTTGTGGCGTACGTAGCGGGTATGTACCGGTATTAAGATACGACTCAACGCTGAGAGAGTTAATTACGATACGCCCTGTCGTATCTGTTTACGAGAGGCACGACCATCCTGGCGAACCAGTGGTAATAAATTCTTCGGGATGGAGGTTCCACGGTAAAAACGCCTTTATTCGCGAAGAAAACTTCCCTCGAAGGTAGCTTACGCGAAATGATCCGCGAGGAACGAAGAAATCACGGTGATTACCGTCGTTTGATCGTGAACGATGAGAGCGTTTTCGCGTGGAACGCCGGGTCGCACGATGGTGAAGACCATTGTCCTCGCGCCCGGAGCCCGGTTTCGAAAGCTGAAAAAAATCGTCGCCGATACGAGGGTGGGGGCAGAGAGGGGAGTGGAGACGAAGAGGGAGAAAGAAAGAGAGAGAGAGAGAGAGAGAGAGAGAGAGAGAGAAGAAGAGGAGGAGAGAGAGAGGGGAGGAGAGAGAGAGAAGGGAGGAGGGGGAAAAATACGTAGAGAGAGAGAGAGAGAGAGAGAGAAAGAAAGAAGGAGAGAAAGAAACAGTCCTCGCGGTTGTACTCGCCTTCCTCGTAGTTGGATGAAAACGATCTGAGGAATCTTTCTCACGACCCGAGGGCATTCTGGGACCGCAGTGTCGAAGGACTGCGAGCTCGCTAAATGAAAGGGAACGAGACCGGCGATGCACTATCCTTTTTCCTCGCTCGCTCCGACGCTCTCCGAAACATTCCATTCGTTTATTAGTCATGACGCTGTTTACTCGACAGTCCCATTTTCGTCCACGAGATTCTTTCCTCGAACGTGAAGAACGAATATCGAGCATCACGAAACGTATAGTCTCCATTAATTTAAAGACATTTCAGAATTTTTAAAAATTAGCGTAACAACAAACTTCTCGTTTTTTTTTTTTTCTCTCTCGAGGATCTCGGTTTTTTCGAAATCAGCGACTTCAGCTTTATCAAACTCGCTGCATGTTTTGCCCGCGTTCTTCTTTATCGTGACAACAGTAGAGACTGTCACGCGCGCGTTTCTTGGTGCGTGCTTTTTCATCGTGACACAGTCGCAAAGTGTGCCACGTGCTTTTTCACCGCGACGGTGCCGCATCATTTTCTCTTATGTTTTTGCGCCTACAGAGTGAAGCATCTCGTAGCGTAACTATAAATTCTCCTTCCTCACTTCCCGACTCTCTTCATTCGCGTCTTCTCTTCTTACCGCTCGCTCGCACGTATTCTCCCTTTCCCTTCGAAGTCGCTCGTGATTTCCGTTCATTCACCCTTTCCGGTCATCACCCTCTCTTCGCGCGCTACCTCCGTCGATCTCGCGCATTGTTGTCTCCTCGCAACTCACTTCCGCGACTTCTTCTCAGGATCGTTTACCACGCAGCATCCACCTCCTAATAAATAAAGATGAATGTTCCCTATCCTTCTTTTTAACACAAATTCAAGAAAGGAGACAAGTTTGATAATATAAAGTGAGCATATAAATAGATATTCTTCTTTAAACTTTTTAACAGGCATTATAAGTGCATAGCAGAGTTGCGATTTAAAAATTTACATCGATAAACTTTATATTTCTTAAGCGCGTTTATTATTATCATCAACTTTCTCACGACTGCCTTATAAAATTTTAACAAGCTTGCGACAATTTCATTGGTAATCTCAACTTTTATAATTATACTTTCTACAAGAGTGAGATGCGTAAAGTGATTCTACTGATGGCCTCGTAGGAGAAAGATGCATTGTACTCACAAATAAGAAATATGAAAATCTTTATCGCTCCAAACTGAAGGATTTATCATCGGACGATTCCAGGCAGAAAATGCATCGCCAAGTTTGTCGTATCGCGTCTACAAATGTTCTCACAGTTGGTTGTTCGTCATCGTCAAAATAAATCTCTTAGCGTTTCTTGTAGCACCACGATTCGCGTGACTCCTTAATTTTGTTCTTATAATTTTATCGCATGCTACGCCGCTAATTCGATAAGAAGTGGCAAGCTAATAATACCGTCAGCATCGATACACACGAGGCTTATTTCTGGAGGGATTGATTGAACTTTAAATAAATCGCCATGTTCTCATCTATTGGATAGATGTTAAATATTACTTATGATTCCTGATGTGCGTACTGTTAAGACGCAAAATTCCTTCTATTCGAGCTTATGCTAAATTGAATTGATAACTTTTCCTGGGTTGATGAAAAGAACAGAAATCGATGCTATTTTGAAATACAGCAAGAAATTCGAACTGATTTCGTTTCAAATTGGCAGAGATTTGTCATATTTTATTAGATCGGACGAGATATGCGATCGTGTGGGCTTAATTGACAAGCGGCATTGGTGAATTCGTTCACATTGTGCAGGACAACAAGGTTGGCGTGTCGGGTAATACGATTTCTTCTTAAAAAACAAGGCAAGCGAATCGAACCAGTTTCCATAGAACGAGCAACGTGCACGATATTATCTAATTTCTGAATTATTTATCACACGTCGCCCTTCTTCCACTGGTTTGTGTGCCGCTTTCGCATTTCGGTATCGATTTTATAATATTGATTGTCAGAAACGAATATTTAATTATTTTCTTCACGATTCTTCACGATCGTTGTCTTTCCATCGCGATTTGTTGCGTTTATCAAATAAATCGTGATTTCGAACAAACGCTGCGCAATCCTGGACTTTGGCACATTTAGTTTATTTAAACTATCAAAATTAACAATTTTATTCCAAATATTTTTTTCTAAATTTAAGTTATTTAATAATATATTCTTATAAACATCTAATCATGTCCAAATATTTTGGAATAAATTTTAAATTTGTGTTTTTTTTTTACGGATGGATCATTACATATAGTGATTGCGCGTTTGCGGAGGAATGGCTCGCATCCACGTTCATTTCGTCGTCACAGATACCGGATGTAGAACGACCGAGCGATCGATAACGCGGATAATCGAATGTCGAATGGGGACATACTCGTTCGGACCCCTCGTTTCCACCTCGAGCAGTCTGGTTCCTTTCCAAAGTCGCGAATAATACTGCGGGTTGTGCTGGATAATCGCATCTTTTCCGAATGTTCAAGGATTCAAGGATTTCGATTTCGATGGCGTAAAGAGGCACGTCGATGATTCGCGTGACAAATATTTGCTGATCTGAGATGGTAAAATGTCCAACAGGATCAGGTTCCGTTCTACATTCAACCCTCGGATCAGTAATAAAATCTTCAGGCGCGCCTTATCATCTCGTATTTTATATAAAGAATCAACGTGTCGATTTGAATTTAACACTCTCGTTGTTAAGCTTAATTTATTTGTAAAGCGAGCGATTCTCACGTTTCTTCTGCCGCTTGGAAAGCCTCTCTCTAAGATGAATAAATTGACGAATTCGCTTGCGGTACAATTGGTGCAGCCATGCGACAATATTGTTATTGCTAATAAATCTATTCGATACGGGAAATGGAACCGCTCGCAAAATCGAACGGCATTTCGCCTGGTTATGAGAAAACGCAATTGGGATATTTATACGCGCCCTTGTAACATACGTTACGAAATTAGCAATTAACGCTAACAGCGTAACTCGTTGCGTCTCCATCGCATCGCTTAATTCAAAATAAGACAGAACGATGCTCGAAGCGCTGACAGTGAGAGTTTCTGGGACGCAGCCAGAGCCGAAGCTAATACCATTAACCCAACAATCGCTAAAGTGGCAATTAGACTTCGAAGACGAAGCCGTTTATACGACACTTTGGAATTGAGATTCCATGTATACGTGCAAAATAGTACGAGATGGAAATTGGCAATTGCGAAAATATATTCTACGCTTTCATCAAATGTTCATCAGTTTATTCTACGTATACTCTTTTGAATATCTACCGTTGGACCGATTTTTTTTTTTTTTTATTAAGCAGTTGATTGTATTTCGACGTAATGCCTTTTTTATTGCCATCTGAATTATAAAAGGTTTTTTTTGCGGATTATAAATAGCTCTTGTTCGTCTATAGCTTCGTAGCTCGTCAGAAGAATTATTTGTAAAGGCTGAGGACGGATAAAATCAACATCCGCGTACAAAGGATATATTCTAAAATGCGATCTTTGATACGAGTCTACGATACAACGAACGCTCTAAGCGGAGGAGAATTTCCCTTTATGAAAATAGGATTCAGCGGCGCTGGTAGATCCTCCGAGTCTTAGCCTGTCGCTCCGACTTAATTGCTAAGATTATCCTTACGTAAATACATTCCTCTATCGCAAGGTGCGCGTCGCGATACCCGAAACGGCTCCGCCGCGATAAGGAGATTGCGAGCTAACTTGGAAAATAAAATAATCGTCGCGGGATGTTGGAGTGTCACGCCGCGCCGGGGTGCCGTGGCACCGGCTTTTCGCAACCCTTAGCCGACGATGGTGGTCGCGCCTTCGACTTTCTCGAAGAGCCTTTCTTCGGCAGCATGGTAGGGATCGCCCCCGTAGAGCGACGGGGAAGATCGGTGGTGGAAGAAAAGCGGTTGCCCTCGAGAATTTCGCCCCCTCCCGGGGGTTACGTAGGTGTTAACGCGCGGCTTGTGTGCGGGATCGCTGAACGTGGAGGAGAGCACACACGGGGCCGGGTATAGCAAGCCGCGTAATATCGACCGTAGATGTTGTTGATGCAAACGGTAACCATGGGTGACTCGGGCCAGTTGACCAATTGCAGTCTTCACGGTGGCCGTGTCCGACCAATCGTCTGGCGGTACGCTGCCGGTTTTTTGATTGGGCGATACCGGGGATAAGAGACCAGTTCGAGGCCATCGGGACCCACAAATGGACGTGGACACACCAAGTGGAGAACATCGGTCTGCTGCGGCGCGAAGTGCCCGTCGTTCCTCGTCGTCCTCATCCACATCGAACTTGGTCGTCGTCGTCGTCGTCGTCGTCGTCGATCATCTCGTTCTCCACCGTGTGTGACGCGACCCTCGGATAACGATACGGATTTTGTGCCTATCTTTCGGTTAACGATACCGAGCCTCTGCTGTGTAAGATTCTTTTACAATCAGCTTTATGGTCGCTCGCCTTCCAACACGACCACCGCACGCCACTACGGACGCACTTCATGTTTCACATTATATCCTACTTCGTGATCTGTAATCCCTTGATCTGATAAAATCGGCGGATTTCCGTCGCTTTCTCCTCGACGAGCTCTTGTATGCACCACATTGTTGAATGCACCACCTAACTGAATACAGTTATGCAAGATAGGATTGGCTTCGAAATGATATTCCCATTCTGATTTTCCTTTTATTTTATATCACTTTTAGAGCGAGATAGATTCAAGTCTTTTTTGGTCTCTTCTTGCACAAAGACTTGTGCTATTCTTTTTTTATTTATCTTACTTTTTAATTAATCTTTACTCTTCGATTTGTTCGGTGAGAATTTGTAGACTTTCAATTTTTATAAATCTGGAATGAACAAACTTTTTTCGGTTGTAGCCAAATCGAATCATTTTATCGATATATATATTTATATTTTATTATATTTTATATCGATATATAGATATATATTTTTTTATATATTTTGGAAGTGTTGATTTATTCGAGACGCGATTGAATTGGCTTTTTTTCCTTTTAATTTTTTTGAACTTTGATATTCTCAAGGGTACTCAAACCGATTGATCCGGCTCACTCGTGATCCAGTTGAAAAGGGATATGTCCTAAAGCAGCAGATCGTAAACTAACAAAGTGGATTACAGTGTACTTTGCACCTCAGCACACTTTTCGTCGGTCGAACGCGTATTTTGCATTGGATTCGCTCGCTTTCAGCCACTACTACTACCATCACTATCGCTACCACCACCACTACCACCATTACCATCACTACCAGCACCACCATCGCCGCCACCAACAATCACCACTGTCACTACCGTCCCCTCTCGGTTGATCTATGTGTTTGCCGGAACAAAATTAAGTTATTTCATTATCGCATGCCATTGTAGCTACTTCTGTTTGTATAGACATGCCGTTGTTTCGGCGCCGAAGTGGCTTCATCCGTCTCGTAGAAAAAAAAGCTTGCACGACACATTAGGAGGATTCTATAAGTTTTTGTCTCTGTCGCGATTAAGTGGCACCTTAATTCCAAACTCAACGCTCTTTGCGATATATTATATTTTTGTTCTTCTCGTGTCGTAAATTCGCAATTCTTTCCATAAAAATTAAAATGTGTTTCTCAGCTCTTAGGATTTATGTAGATTATGTTTTGTGCGTAAAACCATTACAGAGTTAAGCGTCTTATGAGGAGGGGCGCGTTCGAATCAATATCTAGCGCATTATTCGAGTGAAAATAAATGCACTCGAATTTTCCGCACATTTTATTTGCAGGAAAAGAACAATTTTATTGAAGTATTTAAAAATTTAATCAACATAAAAATCATTTTGTTAGATCATTAAAATGACTTTATAAATCGCTTGAGTATGATGATAATTCTGCGATAATTTTTTATATTCTAGCATTTATTTGAATGTTCTATATAATAATTTAAGATTTGTATCTGAGCAAATTTTCAGATACTTCAGCAAAACTGTTTTTATCGTGTGCAAGCGTACGTGTGTCAATTTTCGTTTAGAAAGTTCCACAACACGTGCGCGCGTCTCTTCCAAAAACGACAGTTTGGCGGACAGTCTTGTCTTGTCGAGCTCACGTCGTTAATTGTGGCAAACCGATCGTAACTTTGTCGTGTTTTGTATTTCAGACCATTGGAAAGCTGGCATTGATCGCAAAGTAATTTACCTCCGTGTCAAGGTAAGTTGATAAATTTGTTTTGAAAACTATATATATATATATATATATATATATATATATATATACACACACATACACACGTTCGTAAAATTTTATAAAATGAGAGAATCTGATCAAATGAATTGATATCGAATCCTATTTCTTGTACTTATTTCATCATACGAAGAATTTATCCTCCATTGCGTATAAATTACACTTAAATGGATCGATAAACTGCCGCGCGAATGATGTCGCGTTAATAATAAATTTCAAGGGTAACGAGTCAAAGTTACGCAAATTATAATTATGTTACTGGGATACCTTTTTAATTGTTAATTGTGAATCAGCCTCGCACTCTCTACTCGTGTACGGAGATGCCCGATAAGATCGCCATCGCCATCGCCATTGTTCTTCCCTCGTATTCCGGATCGGCGTTATAATCCTCTCCGGTTTCTCCGCTTTTCCATCGTCGTCCGTGTGAAATTCGCACATTCAAAATATGCTTCCTCAGCCGATCGCGTAAGGATAAGGTATCCGTTATCCGGTCCTCGCACCCGGCATTCGAATGAGCCGAGGACGGGTGAAGAAAGACGCGCCCGACCACCTTGCCAGAACTAACTGTTCCCTCCCGTGCCGTTTTCATTCAATTAGATTCGCGCTATTTATATCCCGCGCGAGTCTCGAGAGATTACTTGATGATAATCAAATGTCGGAAACGCGCGACGATTTCTAACCACGGTGGAAGATACCATGACGCTTTTAATTATATCACTTGAACGGCTAATGAAATCGGAATGGGGGTGTCATTAAAATTGCATATTTTCGACGCGCGATCATATAATTCTGTTTAACACTATTACCTATCTACGACGGATATAGCAACCCTAATAGCCGCTGTTATAACTATAATGTTGTAAGGCAACAATACCTGTTCTGTAGCGTATCGTCAATATCCGTGACAAATTCTGTGTATGTGTGTGTGCGCGCGCGCGCGCGCGTGTGTGTGTGTACATCGAATTATGTTTTATATCTTGCGAGATAAAGTAATTACACGTGGAGTAAATATCGTGTTGTCTCACGACGAAGATTTCCCAAACACTTATTAAATTTCCCTTATGCCTTTTCTGGAGAATTCAATTAACGCGAACCGTTACATCGCGATGCGGGGTTAATGTAAGTCGCTGTAACACCCGACGCGGATAACCAGTTTCGACACGAGAGTGAAGTAAAGCTTTCCGTTTCTTTTCCTTCGGATCGAGAAGAGGAGAGCGATAGGTAGAATCACGAAGCGTGACTGCAGATCCTCGCGCGCGTCTCAGCCGTGAAATCGCAGTCCATCGTGCTCCTCTCACTCTCGTTCAACGTCCTTTCTCTTTCTTTCTCCCCGCTACACGTATTTTATTTCGCGCCCTTATTTCGCCGTCTTTCCGCCATCAAACCGCGCCGAGCCACGCCGCGCGCCGGCAACGACGAACGGAAATGTCTCGTCTTTCTTGGATTGCTACAATAATGGCCGATCATTATTTAACCGCCTGCTATCGCTATATTGCGATAACCGACAATTACGCGCTACCACTGATACCAGTAATTATTTAACGTGCTCGAGCACGAGCCCCCGTCGACTCTCCTGGCGTCTCTATACAGCGCGAACTTGAGCCCGTTCTTGACAATGTACGCGTGATTATGCAACGCGAATTTTTAATTCCGCAAATACACGCAGCGCAGTTTGAGATCGATCCTTCCTCCTCGAGGAAAAAAACTTGATTGAGTTGACGCCACAGAGTTCTTTCGTTATTTAACATAGCGTTCCAGCTTTCTACCGTCTCCGCTTATATCTCGCGCGTTGTATTACCGTTGCGCCAAAAAGTAATTCCTTCGCTGCCTTCGGTTCGTCTTAATGTCTCGGCGGAGCGTGCGCTAACGGAAAACAAACGGATGTAATTTGAAAAGAAGAGGATCGATGACGAATACCGCGGATTGCCGCGCGTATTTGTCCAATATTAATCAATCCGCATGTCGTTAAGCGAGCTCTTTGATCGCCGCGGGCTTGATGATACGAATGAAACGTTCTCAGGAGGATGGATCGATACTTGAGGCACTCCAAACCGCCTTTTCTCATATTTTCGCGGGTAATCATCATTAGAGAGCAGTCGCGCTTATAATGGCGAAGTAATTGTGTAGATCTATCGTCCGTATATTTGATATAATATTTGACTCGCGTAAGGTATAGTTTGTGTAGTATTTATGTTTCGAGTGACTGGGTACGCGGGGATTTCCCGGAGTTTCAGACATTAGCACGGTCGATGAAAATGGGAAATGCGGAAATGTTCAAATCGGAGAAAGTCGCACGCGAGCGTATGTACAAGCACGACGGGAGTGTATGGAGAACCTCGTAAAATCGGGGATGAAAGGATGTTGAGATAAGAGATAGAAATTGAGAGAGAGAGAGAGAGAGAGAGAGAGAGATTTATATGTATTACGATAATGTAATTTAGACGGAATGACGAAGTAGAATTGAACTATTAGCATATTGAACAGCGACATATAGAAGTGAAAAACCTCCGGAACTCTCTCCCGCCTGGGAAATGGAAGAGCGAAATAACGAAAAGAGTAGTAGATAGGTGAGTAAAGAGAGTAACAGAAATGTTCGTGAAAACCTCAGATATATACCTTGTAATTTATCGCGAGAGACGAGTACCAATTTTGTTTGGTCCCGATCGTAAATTCGTTCTCGCTCATTCCAT